GATCAAACAGAGATTAATAAATCAAATATATGTGCCAAAATAACAGTAAAATACAAATACATGTAGGAAATGACAAAGATGGTCTTGATTTGGTCTCAATGTGCTGTGGTCTCAGTATGTTTCAGTCTCGGCCTTTGAAAGTCTCGGTCTTGTCTCGGTCTCGACTCTCAGAGGTCTCGGTCTTGTCCTGGTCTCGGGACCCTGTGGTCTCGGTCTGGTCTTGGTCTCGATTAGTTCGCTCTTGACTACAACACCAGTCATTAGTCTGTACGACCATAGTATGACGTTTATTTTGCTGTATGTAAATATTTGTAAAGTTTCAAGATCAATGATGTTAGTGATGGGTCACTAATAGAAATTATAAGTGATTTGTAAGGATGGGGCAAGATTTCATGCCACAAGATTTGTACATGATCGTGCACACGTGAGAAAAATGATCTTATGACATGGCTTATGATGGCTTGGATAAAAAAAAAGTTAAGAGCTGGTGAGTTATGCAGTCTTCAGATCCAAAAAAAAGTAGTACAATATCTGAGTGAACCAGTCTTTTAAAAGGTCCATCTCACGCAAAATCAACTTTTCAGATCTTTCTACCTTCTAAGAGTGATTTGGCCTTGTATTTGTCGCCGAAGTGTTTTTAGATTGATTCAGCGTAACTGCAGCGTATTTCTGCCACCCTCCCACGTGACAACGAGCTAAAACCTGCTACAACGATGACGCGGCAGATACACCTATGACACGTTTGACGTAGCAGAAAACGCTTCGAAAAAAAATGTGATCGGGACGTCCTTAATTGCAATACGCTTTTTTTTCTTCGGGTCCCAGGAGGATATACAGGGTATAAAATACATAAACATGGTGAAGCTAAAATTGTATAATGGACTGGACTTATTTATTACAAATTATGCCAAAAACTCATCTTGTCTCATTTTCGTGGACCCAATCTCGTGCCACGTCTTGTGAGAAGCCTGGATAGAGTCGAGAGTCTGTTCTATCTGGTCCCTCTGATCTAAAACCTACGGAGGCCGAGAGGGGTCACAACAAACGCAAACGCCGCGAATACAAATAAGACAACACGGCAAAAAGCCACAACACACCAAAAAAAGCCACAACGGAAATGACCGCGGGACTCTGTTTTAATGCAACGCCGCAACAATCAACCCACAACACACGCAATGTGCAACACATTAAAAAGCCACAACACATCAAAAAAGCCACAACACATTAAAAAGCCACAACACATTAAAAAGCCGCAACACACCAAAAAAAGCCACAACAGAAATGACAGCGGGACTCTGTTTTAATCCAAACGCCGCAACAAATACAAATGCCACAACACAAACGCAAATGACGCAACACATCAAAAAGTCACAACACATAAAAAAACACAACACATTAAAAAGCCACAACGGAAGTGACCGCGGAACTCTTATTTTCCGATGGACCGATGAAGCGGCAAGTTATTACTTTTATTATTTATGCATTTATTTTCTAATATTTCTAATACTATGACCCACTCTCCATATACTGTGACCAGACCATACGTTTATATAACATCTTGAATTTATGGATATTTTGGCATTGCTTGAGACTGTTTTTATGGGTAGTTCGTACATTAGGCAATTTGAAATGTCCATACCCTCTAAAATTATATGTTCTTTTTGAGGAACTTGGATTGGCTTCTTCACTTGATCGGTCCGTCGTAAAATAGAGTCCCGCGGTCACTTCCGTTGTGGCTTTTTAATGTGTTGTGGCTTTTGCGTTTGTGTTGTGGCGTTTGTATTTGTTACGGCTTTTGCACTAAAAGAGAGTCCCGCGGTCATTTCCGTTGTGGCTTTCTTTGCCGTGTTTGGGCTTTTTTGGGTTTGTTTTTGCTTTTTAATGTATTGCGGCTTTTTAATGTGTTGCGGCTTTTGCGTTTGTGTTGTGGCATTTGTATTTGTTGTGGCTTTTACATTAAAATAAAGTCCCTTGGTCATTTCCGTTGTGGCTTTTTTTGGTGTGTTGTGGCTTTTTGTGGTGTACTACGGAAGCCGAGAGGGGTCACAACAAACACAAACGCCGCAACAAATACAAATGCGACAACACGACAAAAAGCCACAACAAACAAAAACAAAAAAGCCACAAAGGAAATGACAGCGGGACTCTATTTTAATAGACAACAAATACAAACAACACAACACAAATGCAAATACCGCAACACATGAAAAAGCCACAACACATCAAAAAGCCGCAACGGAAGTGACCGCAGGACTCTATTTTCCGATGGACCGACGTGAAATGAATGATTATAAAACAATAACTTCACTTGCCGCTTGATCGGTCTGTCAGAAAATAGAGTCCCGCGGTCACTTTCGTTGTGGCTTTTTGATGTGTTGTGGCTTTTTCATGTGTTGTGGCTTTTTAATGTGTTGTGGCTTTTTAATGTGTTGCGGCTTTTGCGTTTGTGTTGTGTTGTTTGTATTTGTTGCGGTGTTTGCATTAAAATAAGTCCCGCAGTCATTCCGTGTGGTTTTTTTTTGGTTTGTTGTGGCTTTTTGTTGTGTTGTCGCGTTTGTATTTGCTGCGGCGTTTGCGTTTGCTGTGACCCTCTCGGCTTCCGTAAAAAAAAAACAACACTGGACGACGACGCGACACAAAATGAATCCAGTTTTTTCTCATATTGCTCCATCACAATTTTCAATCCACTTTTATTTTGGTCTAATTAAAAAGCATAAAAAAAAGTCTGTCGGCGCTGATTTCCTAAAAATGACAGAGTTTTAATCACCGTCATTAAAAACCCTCCAGAGTCTGTGCGTGGACCTCTCCATTAGACAGAGCCGGGCCTGTCAGCGGACGATACAAATTACAAGATCTTGATCAAAGTTTGAGTAATTGCTCAGTTCTGTGTGTTTATCTTTGTCTCGATCTCTTAACTCGCACGCAGATAAAGAACGATTCTGCGCAGAAAGTCTCCTCAAATCAACCTGCTTTTGTCCTTCATCGTGTTTAGTCACCACACTCTTTTATTTGACTTGA